TTTAACCGCGTGTGCGAATACCACTTTGAGAATGTGCCAGGTTTATGCAGTGCTTGGTAGCCCTGGATGATGATGTTCATAGTGTTTATGCTGCGCTACAGAGGCCGGTTTACATACTACGGGTATTTCCGCCTAGTCCATGTCTACGGATTTTTTGGCCGCGAGGTTGTCGTCTGAGGCAGCCACTCTGGTAATATAAGCACAAGTGGTGATTTGGGCTTTATGGCACTCACAACTTTGCTATTGGGCGTATAAGGCTAAGCAGACTTTAAAGGATTGACCAGTGGTGTACTACAAGTACAAGCTCGGTTTACTTCTGGAGGCCCAGTGTGACTCAGCCCATACGACGTAGAATTCTCAAAGGCGCCCTAAGCAAGGGCCAGCATCTTGACAACTCACCGCATGAGAGCAGAATGTCCGGTTGATACTGTAGGAGCAAACCTGTTGGCAGGATGGGGATGTTCTTACAGCCTTGGCGCGACCGGTTCGCATATGGTCCCTGGGCTTTGCAGCAGCATGTTTTGCTCTCTGCCTTCTTGTTGTCTTTTGAATAAGGTGACCGCAAGTTTTCAGGGGAACTCTGCAGACATTTGAGCCTTTTTGACGCCACGACGCGCAATCCCTGCAAGCGTGAGCTCGGAGACTCAATCCATAAAACAGAGCCATGTGGCCATGTGCTTCACATTCTTCTGCAATCTGGCTAAGCCCAAAGCAGCCTTTTCATTCTATAACATTGGGGCCTAAAGGTTGTAAATGCTACCTACATTGGGCCGTTTGGATCCCTAGGGACCTTCCCCGACCCTGTCCCTAAGGGTCCAAGTACCGAATAGTCATATACTTACCCAGAACCTGCACAACAATTACTATCACCCAAAACCCAAGTATCCAACTATTATTGGGTACTTGGACCCTAAGCCCTAAACCCCATTTATCCTTTTATAAACCCGTGTAGATCCTTTTAAAGGGGACCTAGTTATTGGTAGTTCAACCCTTTGGGATATAAAGAGGACCCCTCACATACCCTAAACCCTAAACCCGAATGCTGCGTAGGATGGCCTACTTGGAGGGTCAGGGCGACTTAGTAAGTGGGCTAATAATGGGGATACTTAAAGTTACTATATGGGTTATAGGGGTTATCAAGCCACTTACTAAGTCCCCCTGACCCTCCAAGTAGCCTGGTACTTGAACGCTTTAGGTCTTCTAAGCTTTTGGGCTTGTCATAATGGGTCCCCAGGCCTGACCCCCTGAAAAGGGCCGCTGCAAAAGCAAAACTAGTTGGAATAGGGTTAAGGGTGTTTTTGGGTTTAGGGTTTTAGGGTTTTGTTTTTTTTAGGATTTGGGGTTTTAGGGTTTGGGGTGTTTTGAGGTAGAGGGTTTAGGTTTTTAGGGTCAAGGGTTAAGGGCTTTAGGGTATAGAGTTTAGGGTTTTTTAGGGTCAAGGGTTTTGGGGTTTTGGGTTTTTGGTTTAGGGTTTTATGGCATTAGGGTCAAGGGCTTAGGGTATAGGGTCTTGGTGTTAAGGGTTTTTTGGTTAAGGGTTTTAGGGTTTAGGGTCTTCGGGCTTGATTAAGCTACGGCTATATATGGATTATAGGCGAAGAATATTGGTGATGGTTAGGCTTTCGCAGTAGAATCCCCAAACCCGAAGCCTTACACCCTTCAACCTCCTTCAGGATTCTAGAAGTTCCTGCTTCCTCAGGTGCTATATGTTAGGGTTTAGGGTTTGGGGTTTAGGGCTTGGGGTTTAGGGTTTAGAGTTCAGGGTCTGGGGGTTTCAGGCATTGTAAATTGTAAACTGCCCAAAGTCCGCTGTTATCCCTGGGGAAGCCTACGGGCACCTCAAACATCTTTGCAGCTCCCTGGACCCGGCTGCTCATCCTACAGCCCTAAACCCAAATCCCTCAACTCTAAACCCTCAACCTCTAGCCCTAAACTCCGAACCGAGTCCCTGAATCTCTACGCTCTTATACCCAGATGCCTGAATCGATAACTCCGAAACCCAAATCCCCAAGCCTGACCTAAGGTCCTAGCCATGGGCCCTACCTGTTTCCTGGGTAATCAGGGGCCCTTGATTGGGTTTGCAAGGTTCTGCAGAATACATTATATGTATATATGGGACCCAGGATTAAGGGCCCATACTGGGGGCCCGCAGTTCCATCTGTATAATTTTGTAAACTACTGCGTATCCCTAAACCCGAAACCCTAAACGCCAAACTCATCAACCCTAATCCCCATACCCTAAACACCCCCCCCCACCCTAAACCTTAAGCACCAAACCTAAACCTTGACATCCCCGGGGAGACTTAGGTCGAGCTCTGTGGGCGGCGCCTTTGCTGTGAGCCGAAGTGACGGCTTCGTCTTCACCTGGGGGCTCTCCATGCATCTCACAGTCATGATATGGGTGGTTGTCAAAATTATGGTCCCTTTTTGGGTACCTTAAATACTAGGTGCCGTAATATAATGGGGATCCAACTAGACCCCAGAAGTATGTAAAATAATGGCCTTTATGGATATTTTTATGGGTCTAGGGCTATTATTCTACATACTTTTGGCGTTTAGGTAGGGTTTTGAGGATCTATAGGCTTCAGGGCATTAGGGTTCAGGATTCAGAGATCAGGGTTCAGGGTACAGTTGGATTTTAGAGCCACGCTAAAGGGGATAATGAGGAATCAACTGGAAAAGAGCATGAAGCATGAAAGAAACACTGCTCTAGCATTAGAGTTATCATTTGAGTAGTAGTATTGTTTAAGGAGAATACAGTCTTCAACATACGGTAGGGTGTTGGGCGTTAGCGTAAGTATATGTTAGCTACATATACATATATAGATACACACATATTTCGGTGGTGTTCAGTTTGGGAGATTAGATCATAAATGAGCAAAACGTTGGGCCATGTAATTGATATTCTTGGTTGGGGATATTATACTCCTCAAAAAGTAGTAAGAAAATATGCACCTGTTGATTCTCGCATTTCTGTCTACGCATCTTGTGATGAGGTTAGGGCTGGAGGGTTTGGAGATCAAGCGTCCTAGGGCTTGACCACAAGATCTAAAGTGTTTAACTTGAGAGTTTTGGGGGGTTAGGGTTCATATAAGGTTTAGGGTTTAGGCTTTGGCGCGCAGGGTTCATGAGCTTTTAGGCTCAAGTTCGTTATGATTCTGAATCATTATGCAAGCCCCCCCCCCATTCAGGACACTGCCCCTCATTAGTTTCAGCCATTGAAAAGTACGTAGTCTTGCTAAACATGAGACCTCTCGAAATATTGCTGAGGTGGTGAGATACTTTCGGTAGAAAGGCCGCCGGATATAGAAATGCAGAGCAGGACCTGTATGGAAAAGATTCTGAGACTTCGGGGATCAAACCCCAAGCGCTCCACCCATCCCCAGAATGTTTTGTTGTCTCCCCTGTAGTCAAGTTTCTGACCCTCAAAGAAGCAATCCCATAGGTGAGCATGTTTGGTTCGAAAATCCACGCGCGTACCTCCTGCCAACTATGAAGCACGTGTCGCATGTGATGGTTGCTGTGAAGTATTTGGGTTTGGCAGATAGCAGCTGAACTTACAGAACCAAGGCAACATTTCCAGCCTCCTGGTGTCTAGCTCAGGTATGGCGGAAACAGCAGTGCCGTGAGCGATCAGCTGTGGTACGTGAAGCAAGTTTGCGTGGGCGACGGCGCAGCTTGGATGGCTGTTCAGCTCCTTAAAGTCATTTGTACTATAATCTAAACACCTTAAAGGGGGTTATATAGGGGATTATATAGGGGATTACTATAGGGTATATTAAGGGGGATACTAGGAGTTTAGACTATAGCTCATTTCACGCCAAGGTGATTCTGTTGTCTTCAACGACCCCGCTCTCCGGAGCCTGAGTCTAAACGGAAATGCCAAAACGGCCTGGAACGTACATAGCACAAAACACTGAGTCCCTACTGCGGGCACTCTCAGAAGGATCTCCTAAGCATGCAAACCCCAGCTCACTGAAACTTGCAAGCGATAGGTCTCAGCATTCCTGCATTCCTCATGCTGCTAGTCAAGGTAAATGTCCAACGCTGACAGAACGCACGTTGCCAATAGTCTTTTGCATCTGAATTTCAAACCGTTCTCCTTCGCAAGCAGCTTCCTGCAGAGTCCCAAGGCTCTGCCAGACATCAAACCCAAAGCCTGCAACTCTGCCCAAAACTTCTTGTGTAATTCCTTGATGGGTTTGTTCTAGGCTTCTGGGTAAGGAGTTGAAATATAGTACTACCCAAGAAGGAACTACATAGCCGGCTCTGGGTCAACCCATACATAAAGCCAAAGCATTGTAAGCTCATATCCATTGGGTTGGCATTTGGAATATTCAAAAATTTTCCCTTGTCAGCTTCATGAGGACCTTCTATACTAACATTTTTCAAAGGAATCTGAAGGCCAACCAAGCCCCAAAAATCCTTCCAACAAGGCATGCGCAGCGGTCCGCGAAGATGGCTCAGCGGCTTCGTCTGTTTTTTGGGTTGGGAGGTTATAGCAGGGGGATATATAGGGTTATGTAGGGTTGTATGGGGTTGAGGGTTTAGGGTTTCCCAAAATAAGGGGCACTTTTTTAGGGGTACGAATGGTATGGATCGGACCCCATAGGGCTATTCCAAGAATTATGGGCCCTTCTTGGTTATGAATTATGTTTTATAACTTAATGTTCAGAGATGCTAAAATGAGATCCTAAATTTGGTAACTCCCCATATAGTGCGTACCGGGTTGTGGTTACATACCTTCCCGAGCTGCTTACGAAATACGGGAACTGTTGTTCCCTGATTAGGGTTTAGACTTTCCGAAGGGAGTACATTCCCCCAAACCAAGATCGAACCCAGAAGGCAGCCTTGCAAAGATTACTACCCTTTTCAAACATGGACTACATGAGGTTGAATGTTGGGTTGTGTCAGTACTTTACACATGCGTACATATACACACCATCCCTATGGCGTCCCTGTAACTTGTATGAATCAGGAAGTATGTAGTGGTTCATAGCATGACTGGGTCTGCTTCACGCCTTTGGCTCTCGGAAAGTGAGGTTGTCACTTGGGGAGACGATTCTGAGGGCGCGGACAGCTCCAAGGTAGGCTGAAGGAAGGGTTTGGGTTACTACTACTATCATTGATATTATTCCTAATATTATGATCAGTAATATTATTTTCATTACCCTTCAGGGTGGTTGGCAATTCCATTTTGGACTTTCAGAACCCATCCAGAATAATACGCAGGTTTGTGAGCGGGTTCAGTGAAACTGATCGTTTCTATCATGTTGAATCTGGTGTTGATTGCAAAGAAATTGCGCAGAAGCTGCCAGCTCTCACTTCAGTCGTTGCTTCACTCTTTCAGCCCCAGTTGTGGTCCTGCAGGCCGTCAAAAGAACTACCGTGGAGCTTTCTGCTAGGCTGCTGGTACATTGTCTTTGTCATCTAAGATGGTGATATGATACACAGCCGTACGGAAAGTCTGTGCTTCCTGGTCTACCGATTGCAATTGGCTCGCCAAGCTTGCAGGGACAGTGAACGCACCCCCGAATTCTATCCATCCGCCTTCGCTCCCATAACATCTTTTCAGCCTTTCTGTCAAAACACACACTCCATATCAGCTGTGTTGTCCAGCTCCATGCCCTCCAGTATAGATTTGCGTGCGACATGTGCAAGAAGCACAGAAAAGCAATGCTGCCTGGTCTACCCTTTACAAGTTGTTTGTCAGGACCTAAGGAGACACGCACAGAACCAAACGAACCCCAAAAAGTATTCAGCGGCTTTCTTCCCTACACACGTGCTTTCAAGTTCGTACTTCTGGTTCTCAAATTCCGATCCAGCCCTAACCTTTTCAGTAACGGTGCGCGTTGAGAGTGTATACGACAGCATGCAGAGAACCGCTACTTCGTTGCTTACCGTACAAGCTGGCCCTCAGGTCCACAGGGACCACGCTCCAGAATGATCTCCGACCTTGCATTAACCTCCACATTCTTGTTCTTGGTTGCCCATAACTCACCTTCAGATTTCCTCGCCCCGACCCTCCTAACCCGGGATCACAGAACAATAGAACAAGAGTAAACCCGGTCATGACGGTAAGCATTTGAATCTCTTGTTCTGGAGTCTTTGGGCTGGTCTAACCTCTGGCTACGAGTTTGGGTTTTAGAAGTGTCGGGGCGCGCTTTTCTGATGTGTATTGGGTACAAGGATGAGCATTGAACCATTGCAGGGGTTATGTGGTGTCCGGGGCTGCAAGTTCGGGCAGCTTGCGCAACTCAAACCTCAAAACTCACAGCATGTCGGTACTCGTACATTATTCAAGATGGTGGCGTGGTGGTGCTCTTACAGTATGGCGTCTTATCTCTTTCAATGGGCATATACAGCAGGATCCCCGCTTAGAGCAACTGTAGAATCATCATGGCGCTGGGTATGCTAGCGGCCAAATGCAAAGCAGTACTCTGGCAGGTACGCCAAGATCTGCATGATGTCGTGGATGTCAAGTCTTCACACTCCGCCTTTGCCGCCATTCGCCAGGACGTGGCGGCCAAAGACATCATGAGCTTTAGGCCTTTCTGAGGCCTCACCACGACCAAGCTAAAGAGCCAGAAACATGGGCCTTGCCGCTGTGGCTTGTCAGATTTCGGGATGCCAGCGGATCCTAAGGCATTAGGTATGGCGGTTCTGCGGATTCAGAAGGAATCCTGCATACAGGCCCATGTCTTAAGCCGAAGTTTACAGGTTGCACGAGCGTCCCGGGGCCGCGTACCCGCGCTACAGAGACAGGACATTCAAGCAATGGTACGACTCATGTGTGCTCATTCGGGTATGGGTATTTCAGAAGATCAGCAAACTTGAGTACATTTCTGGAAGTCGCAAGAGAACCCCGGTGACCTCTTCATAATAATTGCTCTTCGTAATCCTCCTCGCAGTCCGTGTCGAGATGCTGAAAAACCCCTGGACCTTAAACTCCATAAACCCCCAGTCTTCTACATCCTCACAACCCTTTTAAAGGAACCGAAGGCCCTATAGCAGGCCCTGCCCCACAGGACGGAAGTGTCATCACCTGGGGTGCTGGCAATTTTGGGGGACTTGGAATCCTGGCCAAGGATGAGTTGCGAGATGTGCCTGGGCCTCAACCCCCAAGAGTAGGTAAAATATTAGCCCAAACCCTCTTCAAATAGCACAAAAGACTTTTGGGGTTCAGGTAGTTCCAGGAGAATCCGAATCCTAACGTCTGGACTTCTGGGGAGGTGTAGGGTTTCGGATAGCTGGCTGCCTTCTCGCAAAACTAGGCTGTACGCCAGGGATCGTGTTGGGACTCCATGTTTGCTTTCGGGAGGGTAATCTCCAGAGACAAAACCATCTATATCCTAAACCTCTTAACGCGCCATGGAACAACTTGGGCAATGTTGTACATTCTGGCTATAGCCCTTCAGTCAAGGAAACCCTAAACTGCAGGGTGACGTCGTGAGAGTTACATACCAGACGGTCAGGGCTTCTTCAATATATAGTCCCCTTTAAGTAGATAAGTATGGTATATATGGGGATCTTATTATAATGTACCCAAAACCATATTCTATCCACTTTGGGGGGAGTATAGCAGTATTCTGGCATTCGCTTGGTGTATTTTCCCTTTGAAGCGTAAGCCCGAAGCATGGATGCCCCGCACCCAAACCCCCTTGGAAATGGTTTCAGGTAAGCTCAAACACCTGCAGACCACCCTCCAGCCCAGGTGAAGGAAATTGAGTCTTCCTATGCCGCATTTGCAGCAATTCGCGGCGACGGGACTGTCATTGCTTGGGGCGATGACCGCTATGGAGGGGATTGCAGCAGCATCAGAGACAGGATCATGATTGAGCATTGTTTTACATGTAGATTTTCCAGAGTGCGTGGTGTTTGCGGACATTCGCAGACCGCGAACCCTTAGCATCATAGCAAATGCTTAGAGGTGATTGTATAGCTGCAGACCATTTTCGAATCCACTCACACTTGTTTGCCAAGATTCAGTTGCCGGTGAAGGCACATAGCCTAGACAAACCCTTCGGAGTATTTCGGTTGCAATTCGACAGATGGCACCAAGTGCTCATCATCACCAAGCTTTTATCGGCCTTTCAAATAAGAACGCGCGCCCTTAAGGCCACACCGTTTCGGTTTATGGAACTAAGGAAATCAACTAGTTGGAGCGACGTGCCTGTCATCTACCAGCGCAGCATTTGCCGCTGTCACGTTGCAAGGGCATGTTGTCACCTGGGGCGACCGTATGATGCTTGGATCAAATGGCCGTGTGTTTCACGAGACTTCTGCAAAGGCGACCCCTTCCTCGGGGCTCTGTCATACCGCAGACCGCATGGAATCTGGCAATTGCCTACTTTACTGTTGGACTCCTGGCCCCCTGTGTTGTGACATGCCTGCGCGGGTGAAAGTACTTAGTGAAGTTTAGGATGTGGTTGCCGAGCAGTCCAGGACCACGCTTTGTTTTTATCTTCCTCCAGTAGCAAGGAGATAGACCAGGAATCCGGAGAGCAGCAGCTGGTTTAGCATCCTTGCGTCGGAGACATGTTTTGTTGATTGGACTGCATTGGATGGCTGCCCAAACAAAGAAAGATTTCTTGTTGCATATAGGTGGGATGCTTTGTCATTAGGAGCAATACTCACGTCGGGTTAGATTTGCTGAGCGATATGTTGGTCCAACCCCTGTGTGTCAAAGATTTGTGCCCCAGCATGCGCAACCAAAAAGCCGTTGCCTGCCCCACCCAATCCAGCCGTATAAATTTTTCAGCAGTCCCAAGGAGCCTTCCAAACCATAGCCTCTAAGCCAACAATGCGCCCAGGGTAAATCCTACCTGTAACCCCAATAACCTACAGCTTAGTAGTGATTACCCATGAACTTGTAGGTATAACCCATAAAACTGTAAGCGATTAGGGTCACAGGTAAGCCTTAGGTCGGCCCATGCACCTGAAGCCCTGGACACCGAACCCAAGAAGGCACTTCGAGCCTCAAGCCCGTCACCTCAAATGTTGACACTTCCACCATTGTTCCGCTTTTTCTCCATCGTGAGACAACAGCTTCAACATGTGGTTTACGTTTTGTTTTTGGAGCAAACTCCGAAGCCTGGAACCCCACACAGGGAAAGTTTGCTTGCGAACTCGGTTGCCTCCCTCGTTGCATGTTTCAAGATGAAAGGGTAGCCGTTGCTGTATTAGTGCTGGGAATTGCCTTTCAGGTGTACAGTGTTTCGTGATTGGACACGGGCATTAGTCTGGTGGCGGGGTTATCTGTGGTGACAAGGATGGGTGCAAACTGCTCTACTGTCCGAGATCAGCTGCATGACGTGCGGTTGGCACCTGGGCTGGGTACATTTTACCAAAAGCAAGGGGCCCCTTTTTGGGCGGCGTTTCTGTTAGTTGGGGTGTATAAGGGGGGCTTCCATCTTAGATATGCACGTTGGAACTGAACCATAGCCGCAGCCATTTCCACCAAGAAGTAGTGGTCATTGCGTATGTGTGCATATTGTGTGTATATACAGTGACATATACATATGTATATATATATATACATATATGTAGATATGCACGCGTAGTCTGTTTTTGGTCGTTGCCCATGTAGGGGTATGCTGCAGGGATTAGTGGTTCTGGCTCTGATTACAGGCACCGATCGGGCTGAGGGTTGTAACCGTACTGGGACTGCCAACCCTAAACTCTATATACAGCGACCTAACTTCTAAGTGAAGGGTGGTGGGCCTGGCGTCTCAGGAAGGTTCAGGCTGTTCTGAAAGCATACTGTTGCTGGAAGGCATCTTGGTCTGACCTCTATACCCTCGGTCCCGGGAATCAAGGAAATGAAGGTTTCCTTTGGAAACAGGACTGTAGTTCATCTTCTTTTTCAACTCTTGACTGAAATTTTCAATTGAAGTTAGTATCTAGGCTCACCAACTTGAAAAGTTCAGGGCTTTCAGCTTTCAAAGGAGAAACCAGTCTTTTTCCTCAGCAGCATCAGTTCATGTACCATCCCGCGCTTCGGACACAAGTGCGTTTTCGCGTCTTGGAGGCATTCCCTCCCCACCAATGCAGGCTCACGCTGGTTAGGTTAAGGGCTTAGGTTTGGGGATCGAGGTACGTGATTTAGTTTCGGTTCGAGCGTGTTGAGCATCATCATGCAAGTAGGCTTGGAGGAATTATTGGACAATATGCTCCAGGGGGTGTTGGGAGATGGTTCTTATTCGGCAGCCTTGAGCTTGCGTAGATCCTTTTAGCCGTTCTACTACCTGTATGTCAACTTCGGCCACCCATGGTCAATAAAGGGAATGCAAGGGGAACCCCCCAACAAGGAACCCCAAGAAGATAGTAGGCATATATTGGGAATACAAGAACCCTGGCAGGTATATTCCCAGGATATTCCTACTAGTTCCCATTAAAGTCTCTTTGATAAAGCGTTCTTGCCGGGACAGGCTTGTTCCGAAAAAATTCTAGTCTAGCGTGTATGTCATTTAAATTCCACTCCTCTCAAATGCTTATGATCCCCATAAGCTCTGCAGCCCTGTATTGCCCTTGTACAGCCCTTGAAAGCTTTGGGACCAAGTCCTCCAGGTGGCAGGCAGCACCGGAGCCTTTGCTGCGCTCCTCACGGATGGCACTGTGGTGACCTGGGGCTCTGCAGTCTATGGCGGAGATAGCAGCGGCCGGGACTTCACTAGGCTGCCGCCAACGAACTCAAGTTGAGTTACCGCAAAACCAAGCCGGGTCTTTTATGATATGCCACCGGCATGGTAGTTTTGATTAAGTTCTTTGGCAGCAACCCCGTTCGGGGATTTTGGGGCTTGGCTTGTTGTGTGTAAGTCACAGCAGTCAGACGTCCTAGCTTAAACCCAGCTCCAGGTTCCCTGGCGTAGCTTAACGTTTACGGCAGGAGTTTATAGGGTTTAGTGTGGTTTTTTTCGTGTGGCTGGTGTGAGGTTTTGTGATTTTCGAATGTGCCGTTCTGGGCTCACTTCACTTCTCACTGAAATACTCTTGCTGGCCTCGGCCCTGTTATTTGACTAGGCCAGACTTGAATTGTTGATTTTTGCTGAATACCCGTAATTCTTAACATGTTGGCGGAAACAGAATATGTCCAACGCTTGGCAGGGCTTAGTGCTTTCCCCTCGTGCTTGGGGTCAGGGAAGTACGTATTCTGCCTCCATACATTCGAAAGGTAGTATACAGTTGTATCGGTTTAGGGATGAGATAAATATACTTCCTGCTCTATAAAAAGCAAAGATTACAGAAGCTGGGCTCAAGGTTTTGGTGAGCCGAGGGTCGAGACAGTCAAGTGGAGGCTGGGCTTAGCTTCCAAATGGTCAAGAAATTGATTTTTTTCCGGATTAAAAGAGATACCTGTAGCCAAGAAGCACACCCTCGTCCCTCAGCTGGATAGAGAGGCTTGACGCCAGAAAAAGTTCGGGGACAACCCAAACCCTCAACTAAAGCACGGTTTGAAGACGCAGGCACTGGAACGCATCAAAGTTCTACAAGCCTCTGGCCCCTCAACCCTAAACCCTGACCACTTCCCAGGAAAAGTTCAGGCAGAGCTGTATGACGTCCAGCTGCTTCGCGCGAGCGTTCGCGCTTTCGCTGCATTGCGGAAGGACGGCAAAGCAACTTGGTTGACGCTACTTTCCTTTGGGCTCCATGTCTATCAATAATACCAATAATAATGGAGATTCAAATGGAAAAGAAGATGGAACATTGAATGGAAACCGGGATTATAAAGGGGGTTATAGAGGGCTCCATGTCTATAGATAATACCCGCATTAGGCCTTTCGGTCTATAGATATGACCTACATTGGGCTATTTGGAGCCGAGGGGTTTGGCTTTAGGATTCTGGTGTTGAGTGTCCGGGGCGAAAGGTTGAAAGGGGATGAGGGATGGCAGTGTATGCCGACATTGGCTTCAGGGCTTTTCTGAAGTTCCAGTAAGTCGTGAGCCCGTGGTGGCTCGAGGGCGCACCAAACAAACGCCGAGGAGGTCCTCGCTGAGGACCGTGTTGTTCTGCGGCTTTCCATAATGTCATATTATGATCCAATCTTAGAGAAATCGTAAGCGGCCTTGACACTCTTCGGACGAGACTCCTCCCTTAACGAACACTAATTTGTGATAAAGATTTCTCCGATGTAGTGTGAGTATTCCAGTTATAAGGGAGTATCTATCATCAGAGGGCGTGGGGGCTGGTGATCGAGGGCGCGCGATAACGGAGAGAGATTACCAAAAACTCTGAGTCCGCATATCCCCCCATCTTGTATTTCTCCGAAAACATGCATAGAGCCTGCTCTAGGCCTTCTGTAACCTTCAAGGGCCAGATAGTCTTGCCCTTGCTTACATTCACCCGTCAAGCGAGAGGTCGTAACATGGGGAGATGCCGCCTTCGGCGGCAACAGCCACAGCGTTCAACATCAGCTAGTCGACGTGCACCTCGTGTGTTATTAGTGGAATAGCTTTAGTGCTGCTGAAAAGGGAGGTGGACATTGCTGTGGCGTGGGCGGTTGCTTGATGGTGGCAGTGCGTAGTGGTACTTTCAAGGAAAAGGAGTGAGATTACCAAAGGCAGTCGGTCAAGTGGTAGCAGTTTCTGGAGGGAAGACACCGGCGGCGCTGGATAGGCTGAGCAGTTGCTCATAGTTGGGTGCTGAGCACCTTCGTAATGGCACTCCGCGTGCTGGCGGGCCAAGCTGCCCGAAATCAACCACACACTTCAAGGCTGCATGGGCTTCTATGCTATACGTACCGTTTTTTGGTGTTAACAATAGTTATTCATCGTATACAGGAAACCACTTACAACTAGCAATGAAGCTCCAAGCTAGAAA